CAAAAGTTCTTTATAAGAAAACAGTTATCAGAGTACAATCCCAAAATCATCGTAATGCGGAAACATGGGTTGATGTGTTGCGATCAAGCTGGGCCCTTCCCTTTCGAACCAGAATTTCCTGAAACCATAACCAAAAAACCGTAACCACAAGGCTTAGTGACTTCCCTAAAATATATCACATACCATACATAATAAAACACATACTGGGCCCCCGCTCGACATTGAGTCCCACCCAGCCTCGGCCCTCGCTCGGTTTATAGATCTGTCAATCACTAGGCCTCGCCTGACATCGGCCCCGCCCGATACACATATAATCATATAAACATATAATCATACTAGCACATGCGATAATCACAACAATAGCATATGATACAGTCATCGAGCCCCGCCCAACATCATGCCTTGCCCGATAAGCAAAAAAACACATATTGATAACTAGCATATAATATCCTCATCAGGCCCCGCCTAGCATCGGGCCTTGCCCGATAAGCATACCATCACCTAACACATGCAAGAGTCACACAGACATCCAACATCCTATCATATAAACCATGGTTCGGTATTGGTGCCTTCGACTCGCTAAACTTAGGGATGAGACTCACCTCGATCTATTGATAACCAAATAACTACTCAGACCGCTGAACTACATAAGCTCGTGCCAACTATAAAAAAAAATACAATCTTAATCAATAATTAACCCAATAACCCAAAATCCGAGGCCCACTCCATAAACCAACTTCCTAAATAGTAAAAGACCATTTTACCTTTTTCTTACTTGATCCATAACCAAGGTCCAGCCCAAAAGCACAAAAGCCCAAAATGACAACCTAAAGCCCAAATCAAAAGCAACAAAAGCCCATTATGACCCAACAAGGCCCAAATCTCAAAAATCCCAAAATGACAAGCTGGGAAGTACGCCCCGCGTACTCACCCTCAAAGCACAAAGTACAAGCGGCTGATGCACGAAACCTTTATTACGCTGAGTGTACGTCATGAGGACGCCCATCATACTCATTAGGGACCAAAAATCTATATTAAGCTCTTAATGGTTAAGACAATGACTTCCAAACTCAGATATGACCCTAATGAGATGTCTTAACACGTAAAGTTGGCAACCTTACTCCTCTGTATGGCTTAATGGGACCAAAACCTTAATAACATCCAAAATAAACATCCAAACTCATGCATGGTCCAAAATAACTCATCACGATGACATTTTTATTAACAAGGGGCCTCCCAAAGGCCAAGATCCAACATTCTAAGCTCTTGGAGTAACTCATACTCACAAGGATGACTCTAAGGACCAAAATGAACCTAAAATACTCCTTAAACTAGATCTAACACCTAAATTTATCAAGATAGAAACTTTATACCTCCAAAATGTAGATCAAGATGCAATAAGCCTGGATCCAAGAGCTTCAAGCAATCCCACATTTCTCCAAGAAGTTCCTTCTTCTTCTTTGAACACCAAAAAGCATGAAGTACCACCAAAACCTCTAAAACCACTCAAATGGGGGCTAGGGTTTCATTTCTAGGGTTTAGAGGGATGGAGGCTGAAGATAATAGGGTTTGGTGGTGAGTTAAGGAGCTTAAATAGGGTCCAAGACCTTAAATTAGGGTTTGGGTTTGACTGGAGTACGTCCAACGTACTCCTGGTACACCCAACGTACTCCTTAAAGAACCGTGATCATTTTTATTAGTACACCCAGCGTGCGCCAATATAGGCCCCGCATACTGTCCTTCTCACTAGTACGCCATGCGTACACTTGTGTACGCTCCGCGTTCCCGGTTAAACCCTAAAATCACCAAAATTTCAAAGGCCATAACTACTTTGTTATAAGTCTGTTTCCGATGATCCTTATATCTACGGAAAGGTAACGAGAAGCTCTACACTTCTATAAATTCATACGTTCCTTAAAATTTCCCACACTAAAATCCAATTTCCATAAAAGCCCGAACCCACACTTTACCGATATACCCCTTGGTTCCAAAACACAAACCGAACTCCCGGATCATCTAAATTACATTACCCACACCTAAATGTTTCTAAGTCCCTTTTCCTCAAAGGTCATAAGCCTGATGATACCCGATCTTCGATCGCTACCCCGCACTAGGAAACAATTCGGAACACGGCGTTACAGAAAGGTTGTGGGCTAGGGGTAATCCAACCAGGAGGTTGTGGACCCGGTGTTTGTTTGGTTATATGTTTGTGTGATGGTACTTTGGGGGAAATCACTAAGCTTTGGCTTACAGTTTCAGTTTATTGTTTCAGGTACTTCAAGTGACCATGGCAAGGTATTACAATTCGATGATTGTGGGCCTGTTATGCACGCTAATGTGTTTTTGTAAGTGGTATTTTGGTGGAAAATCACTAAGCTTTGTTCTCACCCATTTGTATATGTTTTTAGGTTCTATCGATGATCGTAGGAAGGAGAAAGCAGGACTGTATACACTCATCAACAATATTGAGGATTTCACGTTTTTTATATTACTCTGATTTTCGATAAATGTATTTTGGAATAAACAGTTTTTCTTAATAATGGATGTATAATTAGGAAGGTTTACCTTATTTAAAAGGAAAATTTTTGGTTGTGAAAATGAGACATTACAACTTTAAAGTTCAGTCATACGAAAGAAGTGAAGTAAATACAATTGGTTATGAAATGTAGTTTGACTTTGATGTGTAGTGTTTTTGTGATTATGAGTATGGAGTTTGATGTTGGATAATTTGGATGACAAACATTCTAAAATTGAAATTCATAGTAAATTTAAACATGGAGTTCCCAAATGTAAGGAAACTCATGTTCAAAAGTATATATATTTACTTTTCTAACATTCAAAATTCAAATCAATACATATATATATAATATATATATATATATATATATATATATATATACACACGCACGCACACATAAGCACACACAAACACACACACATATATATATATATATATATATATATATATATATATATATATATATATATATATATATATATATATATATATATATGTTCTAGTAATGTATCTTGACTCTAACAAAGTCTAAAAAACCATGTTTTGGCTCATCCACACTCATGGCACCCACCGGATGTATTGGAAAATTCATAAACAATATTTTCTTAGATTGCTAACTACATAAATAATTTAAAACCTACAATAAAAACAATATTGTATTATCTAATATTGCATTATCCATTTTCGCAGATAACACTCCTAATCTAAAGATCGACTAATGCATGTCATTTTCAGTAAAAATTGATGAAGAATACACATTCCTTAGATGTCTTCCTCAAAAATATATATTCTCAATAAATGTTTACTGATAATACCCATTTTCGCAGATGATATTTGCGAAAATAGGTTTTCCCAGTTAATACTTTTATTGAGAGCACACATTTTCACCGTTGACATCTACGAAATGTCTATTCTTGATCAAAACTTGCTCTTAGCAATAATAAACATTCAAACGATAACTTTAAAATAAATTTCCAACACCTTAAAATGTGATATTTGAAGCTAAGTCGGTGTTTGAGAGAGTTGAGACTTGAGATTTCAGAGAGTTTTGGTTCCGTTTTTTGTTTTTTTGTGAAATGACGGTAAAAAACCAAAATAATGCAGTTTATACTACAACTAATAGGGCTCAATTTTTTTTGTGACGTTGTGAAAATCATTAAAATGTTGTCATTTTATCGTGATTTATAGATTATTCGAAAATGACAATTTACACAAAATAATGGCTATCTGAATAAACTTATTAATTTCTGATTAAATAATATAAAGTGATAAATGAGACCAACCTCCTCTTTCATTTTCTCTTTCTGTAAATATGCAAATCCTATTATATACTCTAAATTACTCATAAATACAATATATGTCTCTACCAAGATCAGAAGTCTCGACCTCAAAAAGCAAGGACAACAACTGATAACTAAAATCTTTTCATAAACATATAAGCCTCATATACTAAAACAATATTCCATCGTCAAAACGCATACCATGTCATTAAAGATGTTTTCCTAGATGATCCAAACAACTTTGCTTTTAGCTTGACATCAAAATCTGCCTTTTGTGAGATCTCTTTCTAAAAGTGTATCTATATTTCTCTAGAATTTAATATGGCTAATTGAAAGTAAAAAAAGATTTAGAAAAAGATTTACTAATTTTACTCATGCATTCCATCGATATCCGTATGTATATTTCATAGGGAACAACACATTCCGTGTAAACCTATTCTCTAAATAATTTCTTATGGGTTGTATATTATTACCACTAACACACAAACTGATTGTAACAACATATGTTTTACAATGTCGGTAGCTCTTACTCTTGTAGTTATGGTTACTCATATTTTGTGGTACCATCTACACGAGGTTTGTAATCGTAACACGTAAACCATATCAAAGTTAGTAGGTTTTATAGTACATGATGGATCCCCATCATGAGTTTGTCAAAATTAAGGATCGCGCGTTTCTAGAATCAATGAATCATCATAATGAAGAACAACTAACTTGATTTATTGATAGGTAGAAATTAATGAATGTGATTTTGTACATTGTCATGGGTTTCCTCACATTGTGTAGTAGATTGATATAGCTTAGTAAGTCATATCATGCCAAATAATCATTGACTAATAGTTTTGTTACTTTGTGTGATTTCATTTTCACCATGAGATCATCAAAATAGCAACACACATTAAGATACAATGATTTACTGCCTATAGGTATATATTAAATTCAACATATCTTTATATATAGAAATACGACTATCTTTCTTCTATTATATTATAATGAGATTTTCAGGGCCTATTGTTATTGTTGTTGTAGGCATATATTAACATTTGTATAACTATAAATTATATATAGTTTTAGTTTCTAATTTTAACAATTAAAATTATCAATATTCTAATTAATAAATAACAATTCTACATGTTAGTTGTTTGATAATTTTCCAAAACGTGACCCCCAAACAAAAAGTTTAAAAACAAACGAGGACATGCATGAAAATACGCGTATCGGTTCCCTGGACAGGTGTCTTCATTGACTATTTTCAGAATGCTGACCTTTTCAATATCTCAACTGCCCACCTCCTTCCTATATATTCCCCAAATCCTTCTGTTTTTTTTCACTTTTCACTATCAATTCCTTCTTCCGCAATCCATCAACTAAAAACCCCAATTCCAATTCCAATTCAAATTCCTCCGATGACCAAACCGACCAATCTCCGGTGCTTCACCGCCATTCTCCTCGCCATCCTCCTCCTTTCTCAGTATTCATTCGCCGCCGCCAGACCGCTGACGACCGGCTATATCGCAGCATCTTCCACGCCGGAAAAAGTTCAATTCGACGCCGGAAAGTTTAAGAGTTTGTATTTAAGTTCGTTACCGAAGAAGACTCGTGTTCCGGCGTCTGGACCTAGCCGGAGAACCAACGCCAACAAGACTTAAGAGTTAAAATCACTGGTTTCGTTATACATATACGTCTGTAGCATAGATTGTTGAAGATATGATCTCAAGTTATTTTGATTTTTTAGGACTTTAGGTTCTTTGATTCATTTGTTCGTTTTTCTAGTTTTGAGATTAGGATATATGATTTTTGGATTTTGAGATGTAAATTACATACAAATGCACTCACTATGTGCGAATTAATCATTGATTTATTATATACCAGAAACAGAAAAAGTTATAGAATTAGCTACATGATCGGACTTTTACGCTCTAAATTGTGGGTTTTCTGCTTTATTTGTTTATTCATCGGCTTAATCGAGATGAAGCTTTCAGGAGCATTTATCCCTTCAGCTGGTTTGTATGCATTACAAACTTGTACGTTATGCATTCAGCAGTGGTACGTTAGCTTTGCTTATTGCTTCGTTTTTGAGTTCTAGAAACGCGGCATTATACATGCAGTAATTATCTAGTTAACATGCTTGCGCCTTGCGGTGCTTCTTCGTGAATTGTATTCGTACTTTCGTAGTCTGAAAAATGGTGTTTGCCAGATAATATGGGAAACAGCTATTATCACCTAATAAAAGTAAATGAATAAGGGATTGTTTTCTTTGACTTGATAGACTTTGTAGGTTAAAAACTTAACATATACAAAACAAATTTACATTAATGGTCCATGTACCTGTGTTTTACAAAAAAATCAAATGTTCGGTTGGTAACTTCTTTTTATTAGAATGGTCCCTTTGGCTTTAAATTATTGTTTGATTCGCCTCTAACCATATAAAATGATATTTTTATCATATTAATTTTTTTTCTAATTTTATTTAACTAATTTAATAAAAAAGATTAAATGGACCCACCCCCAACCCACTTTCTCTTTGAGTCTCTTTCTCCCTTCTCTTTATTGTTAGGGTTTAGAAGGGTTGTGGTGGAAATCCGGATTCCCTATGGATCGTGTAGGTTTATTTTCTGAACTAATATTTTTATCCTATGTCCGGTTACAAGAAATTCAGTCTAGGATAATCCAAATGGAAACTTACGAATCCAGAAACTGAAACATAAGCCAAATAGCTATAGACTTTTGAGATCGTTCAGAAGAAATAGAGCTGAGAAGGGTCTGATACGACTCAAGAGAAGAGTTGTAGTTATACTTGACAGTTAGGGGTTCCGTCTTATAAATTAGTTAAACAAATCACAGAATTAGTGACATAATCAATAGCCACTGAAGATCCCCTTGGGCTCTGCCCCTAGGATCCTGTAAGGGGCGCAGCCTCCTTGATCCCCGCCATTTGTTGTACTTGTTGGATTAGGTGTCTAAGCCCATAACTATAATTGGTATGTACTTGAATTGATAGCAGCACAGTCCTTTTGGTTACCCTCAACCACAACTGGACAAGGAATTATGAAAGGAGAGATATAATTTATAAAGATTAATGAATTAATATAAATGATTTATTAATATGTTAAAAGATTAATATATTAATTAGAAATCATTATGTTTAATTAATAGTTAGCTAGAAATTAATCAAATTAATTTTGGGTTAAACGGAATTAATTATAAAGTGTAGGGACTAGTTTGCAATTAACTAATAATTGAGTGGAAGGTTCCAGAACCCCCTTGGAAGGAGGTGGACGAAATTCTTAGGGAAACCCTGAGATTTTCGTCCAAGGGGTCCAAATAAGGCCTTTGGATCTTGCTTAGCCCCTAAAGCAAAAATAACTAGGGTTTTCCCTGAACCCTAGATCCCTCAGCTATTTAAGGAGCCTCCTGGCTCACATTTGAGGTCAGTGATTTCTTTAGAAGAAACCCTAAGGCAGAAATTGCATACTCTCTCCATCCTCTCTCCTCCAAGTTTCCTTCTTGCTAGTTCTTGGGTGTGATTCCATTAGAGGCATTACATTTGTGGTGTTAAGCTTCCAAGAAGATCAAGATCAGATCAAGAGGATTATCAATTGTTTGCTATAACAATTGAAAGGTATGTAACTCCTAAACCCTAGTTTGTTAATTTCGAAATTAGCCTCTCTCCTCTAGGGTTCTTGTTTTGCAATTCAAATCGCTAGTATGCCTCATTCACGAAGCTAATCTATAAGGGGGGTATAAGGAAACTGCCTATAAAATGGTAGTTGAATGGGTGTCCACTCTCACCCACCGCTTCCTTGATTAGTGGAGGGTCGTTAGCAGAACGGATTTGATAGGACAACTACTTCTCATTAAAAGTATAATGACATTAAAGAAAGTACTAGAACATTATTTTTAAAATCCCAACTCTAGTTACTTTAGGAAAAATGTGAAAAGTATGCTAATCCATGAAATTGCACATTATGCTTTATTGGTCGTTAGTGGAGCGTGTGTGGTTAACCAGCACACTAAAGGGCACTAATAAAGAGTAGTAATGGGTATCTCATAATTGTCATTTTGATGGAGCGTGTGTGGTTTACCAGCACATCAATAGTTAATGATAAAGACAATGAGGTTACCAAGCACATTTGCATGGTTATTCACATCTTGTTTGTGATCCTCGGCATCCCAGTCACAAATAGAAGAGCATAATCTGAGATTAAAACATGCCATTGAATAGTTTCAATGTATCTCAAAAGAATTAGGAATTTCACTTCGTTTGTTTCGTCTAATGGTGGAATTGGTGAATCGTCATTCACCTACCTTTATGAAATTTACACTTGGATCTCGGCATCCCATTTCTAAGTTGTGAATCTTCATAGTTGGATCCTAACCTTGATATTTTATCTTTGGTTATTATATTGAGGTATCTTGAAATCTAACTAAAACTTTCTTTCTTTTCAGATGTCTACTCCTGGAAACACTTCTGCTTCATCCTCCTCCAACCAGAACTTCTCTTTGCTCAATATCTGCTCCAAAGTCGTTATGGATGGCTCAAACTATAACGATTGGATGCGCAACATCAAGATGGCTCTTCATTTTGAGAACAAAGAATATGTTCTTGAAAAGGAGCTCAAAGAGCTTGATGAGTCTGAAGCTACTCCTGAAGATCTTGCTGCCTACAAGAAACATTACGATGATGCTACCAAAGTGGCGTGCATCATGGTGGCAAACCATGTCCCCAGAACTGCAGAGGTACTATGAGGACTACTGGCCTTTTGAGATGAACAAGGACCTTATGGAAAAGTACCATAAGCGAGCTCGTCAAGAAAAGTTTGAAGTAGTCAAGTCACTCATGGCTTGCAAGATGAAAGAAGGGGAATCGGTTGTGTCACATGTGCAAAGAATGCAACGCTACATAGAGCGTTTGGTCAAGCTCAACATTCACTTTGATGAGGAATTGGCCATTGACATGGTCTTGAACTCACTACCTGATTGTTATGGTCAGTTTATTCTAACTTACCATTTGAACAATACTGAGCAGACCTTGGCCCAATTGCACAACTTGTTGCAGACAGCTGAGGCAGGAATGAAGGGTAAAAGTATACCCTCCACGCCTACAAGTGCCCCTGTTTGGCTATTGGACAGGGAAAGGGAAAAAGAGGAAAGGTCCTCCCAAGCAAAACTGGAAGAGCAAGGCTCAAGCTGGGTCGTCTAGTAATGGCCCAAAGGCTAAGCCCAATGGTCCACTCCCCCCATGTTTCTGATCCAAAAGAGGCCGTTGCTTTTACTGCAATCAAAAGGGGCATTGGAAGAGATCTTGCCCACATATCTGCAAGATATCAAGGATGGCAAAGTGAAGCCATCTTCGGCAGTATTTACACTATTTCTGCTAATAACTCATTATCTTCTCGTTCATGGGTCCTTGATACAGGATGTGGTTTTCATATCTGTTCTGATTTGCAGGGACTAAAGGAAAGTGAGGAGATAGAGCGAGGAAGGATAAACTTGATCATGGGAAACAGAAAGTCTTCACCAGTGACCAAGATCGGAGTTTATCAGCTTCTGCTTAGTAATGATGTTAGATTAGATTTAATAATTGTTGCTATTCGTCTGAGATGACGAGAAACATTATTTCATTTCATGCATTGTTCAGACAAGGTTTTAAATATTCTTTTAATGATTTGAATGGTTCAATTTCTGTTTATAAGAAGGGTGTTTTTATGTTTGAAGCTTTGCCTTGTAATGGTGTGTATGAAACAGTGACTTGTGTTGATAGCCTAGGAAATAGTGTACTTAATATTGACTTGTCTAATAGTGTAGACAAGGCATGCTTGTGGCATTGTCGTCTTGGACACATTAACAAGAAACGCATAGCCCAACTCCAAAAGGATGGAGTGTTGGAATCATTTGACCTAAAATCAGATGATATGTGTGAATCTTGTCTTTTGGGAAAGATGACAAAATCACCATTCACAGGGTCTTGTGAAAGAGGTGAAGGTCTGTTGGATCTCATACACACAGATGTGTGTGGCCCTTCAGATCAACTACAAGAGATGCTAATCGATTCTATGTGACTTTCACTGACGATTATAGCAGATATGGATATATCTACTTGATCAAGCATAAGTCAGAAACTTTTGAAAAGTTCAAAGAGTTTAAGCATGAAGTCGAAAATCAATTGGGCAGAAAGATAAAGATACTTAGATCCGATAGAGGCGGGGAGTATCTTAGTATCGAGTTTAACGACTATCTGAAAGAATGTGGGATAGTCTCACAATTGACTCCTCCTAGGACACCACAGTTAAATGGTGTAGCTGAGAGGCGTAATCGAACCTTGTTAGACATGGTTCGTTCTATGATGAGTCGGGCTTCGCTTCTCATTCACTTCTGGGGGTATGCCTTAGAGACAGCCGCCCACATCCTCAATCTTGTCCCTACAAAGAAGGTTGCCAAAACACCTCACGAAATGTGGACAGGGAAAGTTCCCTCGTTAGCACATATTAAAGTCTGGGGTTGTGAAGCTTTCGTAAGACGAGAGACTCACGACAAGCTAGCAGCTAGAAGTGAGAAATGTTTTTCATTGGTTACCCAAAGCAGTCTTTTGGATATTTGTTCTACAGGCCTAGTGAGAACGTGGTCTTTGTAGCACGAAGAGGAGTCG